GGAAAGAAAAGAAAGCTTTACTTTCATTTCAAATTCATTGCAATGTGAAAACTTGAAACAGTGGTAAACTACTTTTTTTTCGCCTCCCTTGGGCTCTGGGCCTCCCAGGGGTCTTTAAGGAAAGCACACAGCCCAGACAGAGCCCGTTTTACTAGGTGGCTTGATAAGTAGCCACACTCTCCCCAGAGGGGAGGAATTAAAGGGGGTGTGGGATGAAAGTCAAGACCCCTGTCACCCTTAAAGCAAACTGCTTTTTTTTATGTTATCTGTGCTTTCTCTTGCTGTTATCGCCTTATGTTAAAGAAAAAAAAATGTATAAAAAAAAATGTTAAAAGATAAAAACAATGAAAACAAACAAAATGCACCTACACTGAAAACACATATCAAAATTATTTTCATATCCTGACACTTTTATTTATCAAATTCTCATTTTCAGGTTAACAGGAAGTTCTTTTTTTTTCAACTTGTATTTAAATTAAATCACTGCATTCAAACTGACAAAAAAAAAACAAACAAAAAAAACAGGCATAAATCAATGCAAATTTAGAGCTGATGCAATAACCTAATAATTTCAAAGTTAAATAATAAATACTTAGAGTAACAATAACAAAAAAAGAGAAAAAAAAAAGCTTTCCCACCTGTCAAGAATAGGACGAAATGAGGACTTCAGGGTCTGTGTTGGAGGTGAATCAGATCTTTCGTGCTCTAAAGGGGGAAACAAGAAAAAAAAATCTTCACTATTAAGTATAAAAAAAATATTGCATTTTTATTGACTTAAAAAAATATATGCAAGATCAAGGGCAGCTTGAGAGAAATAATGGTGTCTATGTAGCTTAGTGATGCATGCATGTGCATGTGCTGGCCTCTAGGAAAAAAATAAACAGCTATTTGCAAAAACACAAAAGTAAAAAAGCTTAACTCTAAACAATGAATGGTTTCCTGCCGTCCTACCTATGTGTTTGGGACTGTGGGTGTCTGCTGGGGACTTGCTGTCGTTGCTGGGCGCTGAAGCTGCAACCGGTGACACTACTACTGATGCAGGCTGTTGTTGTTGCTGCTGTTGCTGGGCCGACAGAGGATGGTTGCTGGGGTGGTGGTGATGGTGTTGGTTTACTCCCAGGAAAGATCTGACATTCAGCAGGGAGTTCTGGCCCAGGAAGGCCCCGTTTGTCCAATTGTGGAACTTTCCAATCTGGCATGTGTACAGTCCATGACTTGGGAGGAAGGCCGGGTGGGTTTGGATCTGGTGATGAGGCGCTGATGGGTGAGAAGTGTTGCTCCCTGGTGCACATGGGGAGGAAGGTTTCTGGGATGAACTGTCGGGGCTGGTGGCGGTCTCCGCCAGAGACCAGATTTTGGGTTTATTGTTAGAGGGGAGGGGGAAACTCCCAGGTCTGTCGGGGGACACAACCCTTGTGTTGTTATTGCCGTCCGAGTTCTCCTTGCCCCCAGTGTGAACTGACATTGCACTCTTAGATTTCTCAAAGGCCTCGTGGGCCTGCAGGGCGAAGGCCCGTCTTTTTTCCAAGCTGTCCAAGTCTCCAGGTGCGCCAACGCCTCCCCTGTGCTCCCTGCTCCCCTCCGTGGACTTATCGTCATCGTCCTCATTACTTTGATCCCCATCGTTCTCGTCTATCTTGTCTATATCTATGCTCTCCAAATCGATCTCCTCCTCGTCTTCGTTTTTCTCGGCCTCGTCTCCACTACCAAACAGGTTCCCGTCTTCCCCATCCTCCTTGCTCCTGTTCCCCCAGGTCACCTTGTTCTCCTTCTTTAACCTCCTCCTAGCATTGGCAAACCAGGTGGAAACCTGGGTCAGTGTCATCTTGGTGATGATGGCCAGCATGATCTTCTCCCCTTTAGTTGGGTATGGGTTCTTCCTGTGCTCATTGAGCCAGGCTTTCAGTGTGCTGGTGCTCTCCCGGGTGGCGTTCTTGGGTCTGGCAGGGTCTCCATACTGGAACTGGCCGTATGGGTAAAAGGCTGGGGACGTGTGTGCTGCGAAGGTGGCCGGATGCACGCCAGGGCTGTCCTTAAGCTCATACTGCGACCCCTCAAAAAGAGTAAAAAAATAAATAAATATAATATAGCATGTCGGTTTCTCCATTACTTTGCATATGAACAACTTTTGTGTGTGCTTAGAACCGATTACCACCGCTTCTGGTTTAATTAATAATGGGAATGACTTCTACAAAAAAAAAAAAAGAAAAGAAAAACAAATCAAAGAGTTTCAGTTGCACCTGACGCAGAGCTTTCCACAAATAACCTTCTCAACTTGCAGCCTGACACACGCAATAGGCCTTGCGTCGGACCAGCTGATCTTTTCATTTTTTTCTCCGTTTTATTTATTTTGTAAATTTTTTACTGCAACACATCTTTCATCTATCCCCCGAGATATTATATAAAGTAAATTTCCCATGTGATAAACTTGACGATTTTTCACAACTTTAAAGCAAGCGAGGACAAACTTTTACAGTTTGACAGCTTTTAGGTCTGGGTGAAGTTTCCTCGACCTGTCACACTTTTGCAAGCGCAGATTTTCCTGGTGTGAGTTTTTTTATTTTTTTATTTATTGTTTTATGTTACAGCTTTGACACATGCCAATGGATTTAAGCAAATATTTCCAATGTATTATTTGAATAGTGACCATTACTTTGTAGCTGTAGGACTCCGCGTATGCGCCTAATTTATTCATTAACCAGCACATTAACACTGTAAATGGCACATTAAGACCAGGTGACTTATGAGACGTAACTAACTGAGTTCTGGAGAGAAAAACTGGACTCTTAGTGATATTTATGTTTTTGGAACATATATTTCTAACTTTAGTAGTCATCAGATCCAAACAGTGGAGTTAAAAACTTTTTTTTTGTATTTTTCCTTCTAAGGATGAGCCCAAAAACAAATTTCTTTCCCACTTTTTGGTAACTTCTCCCCATTATACGTCGCACTCTACTCATCTTTCTGCATTATACATTTTTTTTTATCTCTTTCCTTTGTGACACACACCAAAACTAAAATCCTATTAAAAGGTTACAGATTGCTTGAAAACATTGCTTTTTTTTCTGAGCACACACAAAAACAACAAAATCAAATCTTACCATTTGTGAGAAGAGAGCCAGGTCTGCGCTGGTGTACGGCAGGAACGCGCTGTAGTTGTGCGCGTACGGGTTTGCGTACATGCCCAGGACCGATGTGACGGCCGCAGCCGCCGTAGCTGACGGACTTCCACCAATTTCCGAGCTTCCTCCCCGTGATGATGGCGTAAGCACTCCCGGTCTGTCGCTCCCGTACACCGCCTGGGAGGCACTTAGATACTGCGGATAGCCTAACTGCGGGAAAGACATTTCCAACCGCCGGATTCTTTTTTTTTTAATTTTGTCTCACAGACAGGACACTGTAAAAAAAAAAAAAAAAAAAAAAAAAAAAAAAAGTGAAACAACAAAAAAGTGCGCGAAAAAATGTACAAGAAAAGAACACCAAAAAGCGTAAAAAAAAAGCAGAAGGAAGATGTTTTAACTCAAAACCACAACTAAAGACATATAGTTGAACAGTCAGAGCAAAGCCCTCTTAAATCTCGGCTTCCAATGTTTCTTTCTTTTTTCTCTCTCCGCAGACTCCGCTGGATGTGATCTGATCAACAATTGCGCACAGACTGACGCGCCTGGCCCTGAGGTCTTCCAGGCTGATCTCTCAGATACAATTTGAAGTTGATGCTTTGATTGGCATCCCCTACTTGAGCCCGCAAGCTCCTCCTCGTTTGGAGCAATGTGGATAATGTGAACATAGAGTGGAGCACATTGGCTGGGGCCTCCCTCTTTCTCCCTCGCCCTTTCTCTCTCTCTCTCCCTCTCTCTCCCCCTCTCTCTCTCCCCTCATGTTTGGACTTATTGTATGTTAAATGTTTAAGCATTAGAGTCCATTCACCGAAGGCTTTGATTGTTGTATGACAACCTGTCTACACGATTTTACAGCTGTCCGACACAGGGGGAAGTAAACCCGTCAGAAAAAGGAACTTACTTCGAATAGATTATATTGTAATTAAAGGAGGGAAGCTGCTCCACAGAGGAATTAGTGCTCGGTAATGCGGACTCATGGTGCCTTTATCTAATTCTTCTGACAATTTTTCTCTAAATTCTTCTTGGTTTAATGTCCTCGCAGTTTTCTTACGTTTTATTTATTTTTTAAGAACTTTGCACTACTCAAGTATAGGATATATTTTGATGCGCACTGAATATAGTTTTTTATGAACGCTCCAAACCAGAAATGATCTATTAATTATAGATGCATTTAATGACCCGTTGTGTTATTTGACTTGCGTAAAGGTTTTAATCAGTCCGATCATCTGCCCCCTCATGTAACTTTTTTGTAACAACCAGACTGTAGTGCTTTGTAACAACAATCACTTCACCTTTACAATATTTGTGCGAGGCAAGGCCAATTAATTCTTTCTTTCTTTCTTTCTTTCTTTCTTTCTTTCTTTCTTTCTTTCTTTCTTTCTTTCTTTCTTTCTTTCTTTCTTTCTTTCCCTCCCTCTGGTCTGCGAATCAAACCTATTGACGTTTGATTTACTTTCATGTCAAACGGTATATTGACACCTTTATGTGATGCTACCCATTTTCGTCGTTTATTTGCTTTAAAAGGGTAAATTCCAATTGTCTTCAAAATGAGTAAAATCAGATGTTCAACCTTAGTCCTTTTTATCTATTTTCTTTTAAATTGCTTGTCCAATTCCCAGCCTTTTAAAACGGAAAGCACTGCTTTGCTGTCCACTCCTGTCACAGTCAGACCCACTTTGCGCACAAGAGGACAGGGGTTGGAAGAGTGTCCACACTATTCTAACTGTTCTACTTTATATATATATTTATATATTTGATTCGATTCTCCTATCACACACCTCCCGAGTCAAAGGCGCTGCTCTGTACATCTAGATTTAATGCCTTTAACGACTGAAGCCCGAGAAGTCAGTCAGATTCTGATCAGCACCAGATGGCTCCGAGTGGATATTGCCGAGCGCCGAAGATCTGTTAAAAAATATCTGAGGGGCACTGATGGTAATCTGAGTAGCACATCAAGAAAGGAAGGGGAGGAATGGCAATAGTGATAACCCGCTGAAAATATGTGCGGGAGGGGGGGTGTCTGACAATGATGGCTGATGGAAGGAAGTGAGTAGACTCGAAATATATATATAACAGAAATTAAAGAATAACTCAAAAAGGCGAAATAATAATAATAATAATAATAATAATAATAATAATAATAATAATAATAATAATAATAATAATAATAATATGGTCAGGGTAAAAATATTTATTTTACTAAAAAAAGATAGAACTGAGTTTTGTAAATGTTGATGCGCTTTTAAAGCCATTTAAAGCAACACATAAAGTCTCAAACTTCCATTCTGTTTATACTCTCAATTCCTAACCCAGAAAGGAACAGATCCAAAAATAAATAAATGAAAAAAATCAGTTTCTAGTGTAATCCACACATTAACAAATACATGTATCAATTCAAGTCAAAATGAAGAAAGAAACGAAAATCCTTCACATCCCATGGAGCGTTGGAACAGATTGAAGCTCAACGTCTGCAGCCTCCCGTGTGCGCTCACATGTGCTCCTGTGCGCGCCTTTTAAACGATTATTAAATTATCTTCTTCTCTTGCTTAAAAAAAAAACAAAACAAAACAAAAAAAAAAAAAACAGAAAAAATCCCCAAGGTTTCCTTTATCAGATTGATCACCAGGAATGATATCATCTTAATCTACAAGAGCCTCTTTATAATCTGCTATGCCTTGATAGCTAAATTGCCTTGTAACAACTCACCTAGTTAGTGGATAAGGACTTCAGTTTAACAAATAGTGTATTCTACATTGAAAATATTCTCCCACATTATATTGTAGTGTGTTTTGTTGATGCTGATTTGTCTGTTTAGGATCTACTTAAACAATCATATTTTTACAGGGATGTTCATAGACTGAATGGGGCCATGGGTAGGTTTTCCTTTTCTGAGGCCCCAGTCCTGTTGCTCCACAACCCATCACCAAAACACTTGGTTTACATAATAATATCAACCCCTCACCATTTTTGCAATGTCACAGAAGCTGTGTAGTAAAAAAAAAAAAAAAAAACTCACAGAATTTTGTTTTTCATGACAGCATTTGTAAAAATAATACATAAAGTTAATTTAGGATGAAGGTTGTATTCAGACTAGATGTTTTTTTGTGTTTTTTAAAGACTTGGTAGAGTTAATAAGAAGAAAGCATTTAATCAGTTGTTCTCAATTATTGAGATTAAAGTGCAATATCTGTAAAACAGTAGAAAGGTTTAATCACGCACAATAAACTGATCACTGCTAACATATCTTTTACACTAAGAAGAAATGCTAGTGGTATATTTACATTGTTTTTATTCTATAAAAAGTACTAGGAAATCTTTTAAATCAGTTCATTTAAAATTGCAGCATATATAAAACTAAGTTAACAATCTCTAAATGAATATAAAGTGTTAAGATTCATGAAATATGAAATAAGTCAAGTGATACTGGGTGCCCTCTATTGGCTTGGAGGCCATATATATATATATATATAGTCAA